TGTGTGGTAGGGGTGTGGTGTGTGGTAGGGGTGTGGTGTGTGTGGTGGGGTGTGGTGTGTGGTGGGGTGTGGTGTGTGGTGGGGGTGTGGTGTGTGGTGGGGGTGTGGTGTGTGGTAGGGGTGTGTGGTGTGTGGTGGGGGGTGTGGTGTGTGGTAGGGGGTGTGGTGTGTGGTGGGGGGTGTGGTGTGTGGTGGGGGTGTGGTGTGTGGTAGGGGGGTGTGGTGTGTGGTAGGGGTGTGGTGTGTGGTAGGGGGTGTGGTGTGTGGTGGGGTAGGGGGTGTGGTGGGGGTAGGGGTGTGTGGTAGGGGTAGGGGTGTGGTAGGGGTAGGGGTGTGGTAGGGGGTAGGGGGTGTGGTGGGGGTGTGGTGGGGGTGGGGTGTGGTGGGGTGGTGGCGTGTGGTGGGGTGTGGGAGGTGGTGTGGTGGGTAGGGGGTGTGGTAGGGGGTGTGGTGTGTGTGGTAGGGGGGGTGTGGTAGGGGGTGGGGTGTGGTGGGGGGTGGGGGTGTGGTAGGGGTAGGGGGTGTGGTAGGGGTGGGGGTGTGGTAGGGGTAGGGGTGTGGTGGGGTGTGTGGTGGGGTGGTGGTGTGTGGTGGGGTGGTGGTGTGTGGTGGGGTGTGGAGTGGTGTGGTGGGGTGTGTGGTGATTTTTTATTTTGCCGCTTACAGCGGCTACTTTATTTGCACCCCACACTCATCCTGTGAACGGTAGCGCAAAAGGATTACAGAGTAGAGTTTACAAAGGGTCATAATAATTAACCCCCGTTGTCAGGATATTATGGCACTGAATGTTACACAGTATTTCAATTACATTATTTGTTTAGTTCTATACATAAAGGGTAACTTATTCACAACTGTGTGAGTACAGGAGTGTGAGGCAGTATGTCTGGCCACAGGAGTGTGAGGCAGTATGTCTGGCCGCAGGAGTGTGAGGCAGTATGTCTGGCCGCAGGAGTGTGAGGCAGTATGTCTGGCCGCAGGGTGTGAGGCAGTATGTCTGGCCGCAGGTGTGAGGCAGTGCGTCTGGCCTCAGGAGTGTGAGGCAGTATGTCTGGCCGCAGGAGTGTGAGGAGGCAGTATGTCTGGCCTCAGGAGTGTGAGGCAGTACGTCTGGCCTCAGGGTGTGAGGGCAGTATGTCTGGCCGCAGGTGTGAGGCAGTATGTGTGGCCTCAGGGTGTGAGGCAGTATGTCTGGCCGCAGGGTGTGAGGCAGTATGTCTGGCATGAGGGTGTGAGGCAGTATGTCTGGCCGCAGGAGTGTGAGGCAGTATGTCTGGCCGCAGGAGTGTGAGGCAGTATGTCTGGCCTCAGGGTGTGAGGCAGTATGTCTGGCCGCAGGAGTGTGAGGTATGTCTGGCCGCAGGAGTGTGAGGCAGTATGTCTGGCCGCAGGAGTGTGAGGCAGTATGTCTGGCCTCAGGAGTGTGAGGCAGGATGTCTGGCCACACTTTGTTATTCACATTTGCGTGAGAGGTATTCAAGCACATTGTGTTTGGTTCTATACATGGGAACTGATATAGCTACTAAGTGCAAGAAAGTGGATACAATCTTAATATATCAGCTATCTTGCCAATAGAGATGACGTGTTGTGGTGGTGGTGGGTGTGGTGTGTGGTGTTGTGTGGTTAGGTTATGTTAGGTTATTATTTCTTGTGTTAAGGGCCCTGAGGGTGAGCGCTGCACCTGGTCTGGGTTTTCCCGCGCTAACATTGTCAACACGGGAGCCATCTGGACGCTCATTTGATCAACAAAACCACCTCAAATGAGAGCCTGAAAATCCATAAATTCTTTGTATCCATCCATGACGCGTTGTGTGCATGACTCACCCTCACCTCTATGTAGTTTCTGTATTCATGTTTTATGTATCTTGTAAGTGAGGGAGGAATGGGTCAATATTTTGTACTGGAGTGAAATCAATAAGCGCAAAATGTGAAGAATTTGGCGACGGATTCTCAAAGGCTCCTACGTTAAGTTTTCCTCCTAACTGGTGATGTGAGAACGTATCTAACTGTCTCACTTAAGCTACCACACAAAGATGGATTCTCAAAGGTTCCTAAGTTAAGTTTTCCTCCTAACTGGTGATGTGAGAACGTATCTAACTGTCTCACTTAAGCTACCACACAAAGATGGATTCTCAAAGGTTCCTAAGTTAAGTTTTCCTCCTAACTGGTGATGTGAGAACGTATCTAACTATCTCACTTAGCTACCACACAAAGCTGGATTCTCAAAGGTTCCTAAGTTAAGTTTTCCTCCTAACTGGTGATGTGGAGAACGTATCTAACTGTCTCACTTAAGCTACACACAAAGATGGATTCAAAGGTTCCTACGTAGTTTTCTCCTAACTGGTGATGTGGAGAACGTATCTAACTGACTCACTTAAGCTACCACACAAAGATGGATTCTCAAAGGTCCTACGTTAAGTTTTCTCCTAACTGGTGATGTGAGAACGTATCTAACTGACTCACTTAAGCTACCACACAAAGATGGATTCTCAAAGGTTCCTACGTTAAGTTTTCCTCCTAACTGGTGATGTGAGAACGTATCTAACTGACTCACTTAAGCTACCACACAAAGATGGATTCTCAAAGGTTCCTACGTCAAGTTTTCCTCCTAACTGGTGATGTGAAGGAAGGAAGGAAGGAAGGAAGGAAGGAAGGAAGGAAGGAAGGAGATGGTAGTAAGCACTTTACACCCACTTGTCTCCCCCAGTGTTTACCTCAAGTGCTTAAGCATCCACACTGCTTACAGCCTCCCACCCACACCCACCCACACCCACCTACACACCCCTACACATCACACACACACCCCACTCCTTCCCCCTCCACACATCCTCACACAGTATACAAAGTGACAGTAAAGTGTTAAAACAACAAGTAAAACTACCCTCCTCCCTCCTCCCTCCACTACCCTCCCTTCCTCCCTCCACTACCCTCCCTCCACTACCCTCCCTCCCTCCAACAATGACCCTAAATGGATAAATAATTATTTAAAGAATATTATTGGCCAAAGGAAGGCTGTAGGTAGGAGAATAAATGGTGGTGAAGTTTACCTCTGAGATTATTATAAGGTATTGACCAGTAGGGTTAAGACCTATATAAGAAAAGCCAAGAGGAATAATGAACTGAAGATAGCAAGGGAGGCGAAGTCAAACCCCAAGGGATTCTACCAAATGTATCAAACTAAAACACGAGAAAAGATTGGACCAATACAGTCAGATACCGGCGAGCTAACTGATAACGACGGAGAAATGAGCAATAATCTGAACAAATATTTTTCAACAGTTTTCACCACCGAAAATTTTAACATGATACCCGAGGCTCCGACTATATACAGAGATAGTGAAGAAAACAAATTAAGCGAGATAGTAGTGACTAGTAACGATGTTAGTAAGCAAATAGACAAACTAAAGCCTAATAAGTCACCAGGTCCCGATGAGATATTTGCCAGAGTATTAAAGGAATGTAAGGAAGAGCTTAGTATGCCCTTAGCAAAGTTGTTTAACATGTCCTTAAAAAACGGGTGTAGTAACAGAACCGGGAGGATAGCGAATGTAATACTGATTTTCAAGAAGGAGATAGATCACTATCCTCTAAACTACCGTCTAATCAGTTAACATCAATTGTAGGCAAATTACTGGAAGAAATCATTTCAAACTATTCTAAATCACCTGGAGAAGCCCGTTGATCAATGATTCCCAACATGGCTTCACAAGTGGGCGTTCATGTCTAACTAATCTATTAACATTACTTTCATCAGTTTTTGAATCAGTGGACGAGGGGCACGACTATGATGTGGTATATCTTGACTTTAGCAAAGCTCGACAGAGTCCCCATGAAAGCTAATAAGAAAAGTGGAGGCTCATGGCATTAAAGGTGATATTCTAAATTGCATTAGGGCGTGGTTACAGGACAGAAACAGCGAGTGAGCATTAACGACACTAAATCCGATTGGAGCAACGTCACTAGTGGAGACCAAGGCTCAGTACTTGGACCATTATTATTTATTATATACATAAATAACATAGATATTGGCGTAGACAACAACATAAGTAAATTTGCTGATGACACTAAAATAGGGCGTGTAATTAAAGCTGATGAGGACTCCGCAAAACTACAGGAAGATGTAGACAAAATTTTTGAATGGACTGAAAAATGGCAGATGAAATTCAATGTTGATAAATGTAAAGTACTCAGTATAGGAGATGTAAACAGGGAAACCAGATACCAGATGAACAACGATGATATAGAGAAACCGACTGAGAGAAAGATTTAGGAGTAATGATGAGTAGGAACCTTAAACCAAGTCAACAATGTATTAGCTGGGAACAAGGCTAAAGTACTGGGTTCATACAAAGGAGTGTTAGTTACAAGACTAGCGAGGTCATCCTAAACTATATCTTGTGCTTGTTAGACCTCACTTGGATTACGACCGTTCAGAGGAGAATGACAAGTCTAATCCAGGCATTAGGAACCTTGAGTACAGAGACAGGTTAAAGATCTTAATTTACACACACACACACACACACACACAAATATATACACACACCCACACAAACACAACACACACACACACACACACACACACAAGGGTGTTCACACTTCACCACACATTACTCCTACACACACGGAGGCAATTATTGGCACGAGGGAGGGAGGGAGGGGGAGAGGTGGAGGGAGGGAAGGAGGGAGGGAGGGAGGGAGGTGGAGGAGGGAGGAGGTGGAGGGAGGGAGGGAGGTGGAGGGAGGAGGGAGGTGGAGGGAGGGAGGGTAGTGGAGGGAGGGACGGGAGGTGGAGGAGGAGGGTAGGTGGAGGGAGGGAGGGTTGGTGATTCTGTCATATTAACAGACTGTCTGTCTGTCTCAGTGCACTGGGGTCACAGACTGGGGTCACAAGCTGGGGTCACAGGCTGGGGTCACAGGCTGGGGTCACAGGCTGGGGTCACAGGCTGGGGTCACAGGCTGGGGTCACAGGCTGGGGTCACAAGCTGGGGTCACAGGCTGGGGTCATGCTTGGGGTCACAAGCTGGGGTCACAGGCTGGGGTCACAGGCTGGGGTCACAGGCTGGGGTCACAAGCTGGGGTCACAAGCTGGGGTCACAAGCTGGGTCAGCAAGCTGGGGTCACAAGCTGGGGTCACAGGCTGGGGTCACAAGCTGGGGTCATGGTGCTGGGGTCACGGCTGGGGTCATGTTGGGTCACAAGCTGGGGTCAAGCTGGGGTCACAAGCTGGGGTCACAGGCAATGGTGCCACAAGCTGGGGTCACGCTGGGGTCAGTAAGCTGGGGTCACAGTTGGGGTCACAAGCTGGGGTCATGCAGGTGGCTGGGGTCACAGGCTGGGGTCAAGGTGGCTGGGGTCACAAGCTGGGGTCACAAGCTGGGGTCACAGGCTGGGGTCACAAGCTGGGGCTGGTCACGTTGGGGTCACAAGCTGGGGTCACAGGCTGGGGTCACAGGCTGGGGTTCCATTCATCATTGTTTTATTTTGGTCGTGGTGGAGGTGTGTGAGTGAGACGGAGGCGACGGTGCCAAATCTCCACAACAGGACGTGACTATGCGACTTAATCCGATAATATCTCTAATATTTTCTCCATTATTCTCTATATTTATCACCCTCTTCCCTTATTACCCTAAACATCAACGTCTTTACTTAAGTCCTGTTCGGTTTCCCCCCCGGCAGTCAATAATATTATGAGATTATCTTAGCTTGATGTGGCAACGCTGTACAATGCCTGTGAGTAAGACAGGAAATTGCTGAATGGTGACGTCATTGTACTACAGCATCTTGATTGGCTGACGAACGTCATGTTTACTACGATACTATTGGCCTACATTACTGTCAGGTGTGACGTCATCCTACTATCGGACACTCACGGACGGACACCTTGTAGTGCCGCGCTTACTGTTGGGGGGAGTGTAGTGACAAGGTGGTGCACACAGGTGGTACACACACACACACACAGGTGGTACACACACAGGAGGTACACACACACACTACTACTGTCATTGGTAATCAAGTATGACGATCATCCAGCTATGATACTATGATATGAGTTATTAAGGATGTCACCTTCGTTGGTGAGTTCTGAGGTGACTAAAGAGGCCGATACGGGACCGGCAGAGTCGATCACTGATGTTGGACGCGTGGGGCTACATCTAGTGCGGAGGGGCGGTGGCAGCGTCTTTCCGGCGTTGGCACTTGTCTGCCTCGGTATACAGTCGGGTTAACTCGAAAGTATTGACACCTTCTCGTGGTGCTCCTCCAAGCGTTACGGTGTGGGAGTAATCGTCTCCCAGGTGAGGGGGTCGATTAGGCACTTTTTCAGGTTTGTCTTAAGACTATCCTTATACCTCTTCAGTTGCCCGCCAGCGTTACGTTTACTTTCGTTAGGTGACTGTAAAGTAGCTACTTTGGCAGTCTAATGAGTGTCCATGAGGCTAACATGGCCAGTCCAACGTAGTTGTTCATGGATAAGTTAGCCCGATGCTCCTACAGTTGGTGTCAGTAAGAATACTGGCATTTGTCTGTCTTCCCAGCGAACTCGGAGGATGGAACGTAGACTACGTTGGTGAGAGTTATCAAGTGCCTTGAGGTGCCTCCTGTATGTGACCCATGTCTCACTGCCATACAGCAGGGGTGGGAGGACCGCTCGATATACGTGTAACTTTGTAGATAATTTCAGCTCCCTACAGCTGAAGACACGGTACAGAGTCTGCCAGAGGCTTGAGATGAACATCTGATCCGATGTTGAATCTCTTCATCGATGTCCGCGGTGGTGGACAGGTGGGAGCCGAGATACTGGAAGTGGGTAACATTAGAGAGGGTAGTACCGTTAAGCTGTGATGGTGGAGGTGTGGCTGAACCAGGGGCAGGCTGAGAGAGAATCTGAGTCTTGCGTAGGTGTTCAGGATCTCCTGTAGGTGTAGTGTTCAGACAAGGGTGAAGTCGTCTGCATACCGAAGTTTCAGTAATGGAAGCTGCCTACACCTTTAAGAGCTCGGGGATTCTCTCCCACATATTCTCCAGGAGAGAGTGGAGACGGCTGGTAAGCAGAGGTCCTCCTGCTTTATACACCTCGGCTGGGATTCCATCAGGCCCTGAGGCTTTGTTATTTTTCATCTGTTTGATGGCAGTAGCTACCTCATCCAGGATGGAGGATAGCTGAGGTGTCAGCTCTGGATGCTGAGGGACCTGCTGGAGTCGACATCCATATCAGTGTTTCGGTTAAGCAGTGAATGGTAGTGCTCTTCCAGCGCTGAAGGAGGCCTTTTCGTCGTTAATTAGGAGTTACCGTCAGATGGGTGGAGGGGCTGTGCCATGAGTGACTGGCCTATAACATGTTTTAGTGGACTTAAATGGCTCATCTTGTGTTGATCAGGTTTTTGTGCTTCACTGACTTTATTTTTAAACCAGTCGTTCTTATATTGGGAAGTTCTGGCCGCCACTTTCTTCTTGTGGAAGGTATCAGCTTTGGTCCGAGACTGAGGGTTGCTCTGCCAGTCAGTTAAAGCAGCACGTTAACATCGATGAGTACATTGATTGCCGGGTCATTGTCATTAATCCAGTCCTGGTGTATTGTGTCGATCTGGCCGAGGGTCTCTGCAGGTTTTGTCATGACAGTGTCGAGAATATCCCATTTGGTGCTGGGATTTGGGTTGTTTGGTGTCGGGTTGTTTATCAGCCCATGGTCGAGCTGCTCTCTGAAGACATGTGCTACCAAAACACACACACGCACACACAGGTAGCACGCACACACAGGTAGTACAGAAACACACACACACAGGTAGTAGGGCTGCATTATCCACACACCGACACCCTCCACTACAGCACGGGTTAACAGCGCCATGTGTGTGTTGTGGTGAATTATAGAACTAGTCGATACCTACACATATCCTTCTCCTCCTCCTCCTCTTCTTCCTCCTCCTCCACCTCTTCTTCCTCCTCCACCACCTCTTCTTCCCCTCCTTCTTTCTTAATTTTGTGTTATTTAATAAACAAACGGTGACGTCACAGCATACAACAGGATACGCACTTCTGACACTACCAACACCCAAGTGGGCTGTGTACTGCCTGACACAACACACACACACACACACACACTACACACACACACACGCACTAGTCGACCACAATTTAATCGTCAATAAAGCTATCGACCTCGGGTTTCAAAGAAGTCTCATACCATGGCTTACAGACTTCCTCAGTGACCGACGCCAAGCTGTACACTTCCGATGGGCTGTCTCCACCTTTCAGTCACTCACCTGTGGCGTCCCCCAAGGCACCAAGATGGGACCACTATGCTTCCTTATGCTTATCAATGATGCCCTAAGAGAAACCCCTGCTGCTGGAAATATGTCGACGACTCCACCATTGGGACCAGTCAACGCCCCGACTACACCGCCCTTCAGGATTTATTGAACAGTCTCCAAAACTGGGCCACCAACAACTATGTCACCATCAACCATACCAAGACCATGGTTATGCACATCAACCTTCTCCGACGTTGTCCCACCTCCTTCCATCACTTTAGGTCCCAACACACCCAGGTTGTAGATTCCACGAAGCTCCTCGGCGTCACCATAGACAACAAACTAAATTGGAAACCACACGTCAGTGAAGTTGTCACATCCTCCGTTTCGGTCTCCACCTCCTCCGCCGACTCAAGTCCCCGGAGTTCCTGCACACGAGCCCTCAGTGTTTACACAACATTCATACTTCCCAAGCTCACCTATGCCTCCCCACCTGGTCTTCCTCCCCAAATGCCACACAACGTAAACACCTGGAAAAAGTGCAAAGAGGCATGCAAGATTATTCTTCCCCTTCCTACTCCATATCAAGAAGCGCTCAACACACTGACCCTTTAGACTCTCACTGACCATCACTCACGACCTTATCTGCAATTTGGAGACTTTGCACCATCTCGACACTGGCTCCTACTACCACCAGATCCCTAGCCTGAGAATTGTGTTCGACACCACAACCACATCCAGCCCATACGAGCACGTACTGATCGCTATAAGAACAGCCCAGTCCCAACCATTGTAAAAATTATCAACAACTTGTAATCAACCAGTGTATTCACTCCCAGTCAATCTTACCTTTTGCACTGTCACTATGTTGAAATGCCCTGTAGTATGACCTTCTCCCACCTAGTTGTTATATATTGTATATTATTTGTAAATCAAAAGACCCATTCAGCAATTATGTAACTGTATATTTTCAGCCTTCCGGCTGCCATGCTCTTTCCTGTTAATTAATATTATTACTTCACAAACACACACTTACACTACACACACACTTACACTACACACACACACACACACACACACACACACACAGAAAGAAAAGGTCACTTGTACTATTGGTTTCGCTATAAAACAATGAACCACGCCCACACCCCCACCACCACGCCCACACCACTCACCACACCACCACCACGCCCCCACCACCACACACCACCACCACGCCCCCACCACCACACCACCACACCACTACCAAAGCCCACACTACGCCCCCACACCACGCCCCACCACCACCACGCCCACGTTAGACCTCACTTGGATTACGCAGTTCAGTTCAGGTCACCGTATTACAGAATGGATATAGAATTCTAGAAAGAATTCAGAGGAGAATGACCAGACTAATCCCGGCATTAGGAACCTTGAGTACAGAGACAGATTAAAGCATCTTAATTTACACTCGAGAGACGTAGAGTGAGGGGCGATATGATAGAGGTGTATAAATGGAAGTCAGGACTAAACAAAGGTGATATAACAAAGGTACTCAAACTATCCAACCAGGAGCGAACTCGTAACAATGGTTTTAAATTAGACAAATTTAGATTTAGGCGCGAGATAGGTAAACATTGGCCTGGAAATAGAGTAGTGGATGAGTGGAACAAGTTACCAAACATCGTCATTAACTAGAACACGCTGGATAGGTTAGGTTAGGTTGGTTGGATATATGAGTGATAGGGGTTAGGTGTTAACGGGACTGTCCAGTATGGGACAATAGTTACTGTTCCTTCAATCATATGTTGTTGGGTTACCACCACAAACAATGTACTGGAAATACTCTAACATTCAACGCCACAATATCCTGACCACTGGGGTCTGATGAACAACCCTTTGTCACCTCTGTTGTTCGCTACCGCTCACAGTACAGGGTGCACAATAAACTAGCTAACACTCACAGTACGGGTGCTCAATAAACTAGCTACTGCTCACAGGAGGAGTAATGTGCACAATAAACTAGTTGTCCGCGGGCAAATTCTAATTCACACACCCATACTGCTTGATGACGTCACATTTATTATTATTATTATTATTATTTTCTATAATTTCTAAAAGGCCAAAAGTAATTATAAAAAAAAAGTAATAAAATAATTTATGAAGACTTACCTTTTGTTTACATTATGTTGAAGAAATTACCGAATTATTCTGGTATAATTATTACACTCACTTATTACGGGTTAATATTGTTTATTACAGAGACTTATAACACTGAG